TCGAAGTAAAACAAGCCTACTACCGATGCAGACGTCATTAAAAAAAATCGCTTTCCACCATACGTCACATCATGAAACCACGTGAATTTTAGGTACCGCATTCACATTTAATACCACTAGACCAAAGAGACTGGCAAATATACATATAATTCCTTATCCTTGGCCAAACCTCCATGTTAACGTTAAAACAATTTATTCCATACATAACGTACCGGTACTTGGTACAAGTTAAGCGGTGCTAGGACAACGGTCAACGAAGTCACCATGAATACTAATTGGTTTACCGTCAATAGTTTTATCGTAAGCTTCAACCAATACATGTATAAGCGCTTAAGCTGCTTTTTTGGAGTGTAAAATTACGTTAAACAGCTTTTATTGATTATTAAAATAAGTTAATAATGGCATAATTTATTGCGTGTCTAAATTTTGGAATGAGGAAAGATACCAGAACAAAGTAAAATATGTAGATAGTAGATACTTGAAAACGTATAAAGTCACATACATTGGAGTAACTATACAAAATGCAGACAATGGTCCAAAATGGATGATTAAAAAACAACAGGAATACCGGTGGCGTGTGGATTTACGACTAGACCGTCAAGACTTTGGCAATGAAGAAGATAAATATACTATTCACATTAAAAACCAATACGAAGTTCGAAAACTCTGAAGCAATGATAGAGATGTAAACTATCCATAATATCCATGATGGCAATTTGACAATATTATGGTGTTAAACAAGCCTATGTCTTCCCAACACTGATCATAGTGGGCGTGCAAATTGAATGAAAGGGAATACATTAACCAGTAACTATTCGTAGGCGACACAAACATCGCGTCATTATTTATGCAATACCGTTGAATTATAAATGTAACTGCTCTATTGGGGACATCGATTCATGAACTGTTGATTTGTTAGAATTAATGAACCAATCGTGTTTGTAGAATAAAATTATCAGATTAAAGAGTCACTATGGAGCGGCTTAGTAGCGGTTTCGCCCTAATTTTGTTCGCCCGAATCGGGCGAATGAACTACTTTCAATTTTGAATATTTTTTAGGGCCGGTTTCGCCCGAGACAAATTTAATAGCGGGCGAATCGGGTCAAGTAAAATTTAGTAATGGATTATTCGCCCAAATACTATTATACCTTAAAAAAAAATAAGTAGTACAGTCGAGCGCACCATGTATAAATATTTTTAAAGAGGATTTACTTAGGCACATGTGTTACTCAAAAATAGTAAGTAACCTACTAGATAATATGCACAATGACTTTTGTTCCTCAGCGATAGAAGTAAAGACACAGCAAATAAACGCACCCACAGGAACACAAAAGTAGTATAATGCTGTCTCTGTCACTCATTTGCAAATTGTGCAGCGTGTTTCCCATCATTTGGTTTAGTGTGTCTAAAATACTGACAGTATAATAACATAACTGCATAAAGTGCGTGCATTAATGATGTGAATAATTTATTTTATGTTTATTGTTTCTTCAAAAAAGCCTGGATACACTAAGAAGTAAATAATAAATATGTACTTAGTTATTTATTGTTGTTAGTTACTTGTTATTCTAGGTGCTTTTTGTTTTAAATACATTATTATATTAAATATAATAAAAATTGCGAGTTTAATAATTTTGCACCTTTGTAAAATCAAAGAAAACACTAATTACGAATAAATACCAAATTAAAAAATATGATAAAGCAAAACTGTGATAATGATTGTGATTAAAAATTAGATTTAGTTAAGAGATATTATAGTAAAACACTGTGATTATAATTTCAAATACTGTGATTATTATTGAAATCTGCTATACTTTTTATATTACTCAAAAAAATATTTAACATAAATAAGTACAAAATTATATTTATGGTGCTTTGATATTTGTAAAAATACTGTGTTTGATTATTAGTAAGTACAAAGTTATAATGAGTAGAAGACTGTACGTAAGACTGTTCAGAATCATGTACTGAATTCATGGTAAGCGGCTTCGGTACACCGTCCCTTACACCCTTCATAATATTAGACATACAGGAATAACCAGATTCACCAACAGAAAGAAAAATGATTGTAAGTAACAATTGTGTGCGCAACTGTACTTTTTTATAAAATTTTACATTTTATTATAAAATAAAGGCTTATTTTTTGAGGTATAATAGTATTTGGGCGAATAGTCCATTACTAAATTTTACTTGACCTGATTCGCCCGCTATTAAATTTGTCTCGGGCGAAACCGGGCCTAAAAAATATTCAAAATTGAAAGTAGTTCATTCGCCCGATTCGGGCGAACAAAATTAGGGCGAAACCGCTACTAAGCCTATGGAGCTTCACTTCGGTCAGGCTACAAGCTCTTTTTACGGGGGTAAAATCATCTAATGACGCCTCCCGCCTCTGGTGAACTAAATGGTCGATGTACATATATGCAAAGTTCATTCTTTTATAGTTTAATAGGCCAATTGCACACGTTTATTTCTGTATAGTAATTTTAAACATTCGTTGAATAACGTGACACTATCCTCATTATTTCCCCCCTTGCAAAAAGGGCAGAAATTGCCCGTCATAAATTATTTCTAAGGAAACGACTTACATGCGATTCGTTTTAATTCGGAATATCCTATGAGTTGGCGTAATAACTATATTTTTAACTAATACTTTTAGGTGTGGGGCGAGGCGGGGCAACCATGATTCATTTAACCTAACTAGCAAAGACATCTAATTTAAATTCATTTAATACCGACTTGTTAATTAATTAGTATCATAACAATGAAAGTTGTCATTTACAAATTCTCACAGTCTGCAATTACAGAAGCAACGAAGAAAAAGAATTGTGTAGTGTTGTGATTGTGATAAGTGCAGTCAAATTTCAGAGGCCAATCTCTGGTACAATGGTAAAATCAAGTGCCCAAAATAAATTCATACAGGACAGACTTGATTAACGGGACAAAGAGAATAATTGGAACCACCACTAATGTAAATCTATCGTCGTCTTAACTGTTAAAACAATTTTGATCAATATGGATGGTATGTTCAGAACCCCTCGGAGCTCTTGCTTACAGTTCAAAAACCCCATTTTATGGTACTGGGGTGAACATTACGTCAGGTAATTATTACCTACTAAGTAAAAGCGCCATCCAAGTGACCATCTCGACATAAACAAACAAACCCAAAAACTAGTCAAACAGTACGAAAGGTTAGTTCTACGGAACGCTAGACAAACAGACGACACTTCGCACTACATACAACTAAGGTCGGTTATAATAGTTAACTAAACAAGCGTGAACATGTTTCTGTACACATTCATATCGATTAAATGTTCACGTCGGTGATATGACGTGATATGTTAAGCCGGGGATTGTGTGATCTAGACATGAAATAATAGTAACGTTTGTTAACAGGATCCTTTTTTTTATCTACGACCTATAATAGCTTTTAGATAGTTAGGATACACCACTTGTGGGCAAGGAACCCAGGTATAAAAAATCAAATATTTTTATCAAAAGCCTAAGCTAATAACTACTACACCAAAAAGAACGAAGCTATTACATGTTTCGTTCTAAAGTCACAAAAATAAGTTAAAACCTTATTACTAGTTGCTGTTTCCAGAAAATATTACGACCTTCAAGGGAATATTTAATCTAAAAAGCTAGCTATACAGCGTCTCCAAAATTAAATTGAATAATTAAAGAGGCAGAGAAGAAATCTGACGAACTTGAAGCAAACTTGACATAGGTATAAGCCTAAGAAAGTCGTTTCTCAAAAAGACTAACGATCCTCGTAGCGTCTCTTGAGAGTATGAACAAAGGTACTTTTTGTAAGAGAGCTCCAAAACACATTTCGTCAAATATTCCCAATGGCCTGTTTACTGTTATGACTCCAGAATTTTGCCTCCGTAAAAACCATACAGGTGCAGATATTCTGATGTATTCATGAAAGTTTGATCTGAGCCCGTAAGTACACTTGAAGTTGGGTCGGGAGTGAATTTAACAATTCATGGTAGAAAGTCGTTCGATTCATGTTCCTAGACATGCAAGTTTATCTCAGAACCACTAAAGGCTAGTCCTAAAAGCCACTAAGTGGAAGGGATGGACAGAAGAGAAATTATTTCGGTATTGAATGAAATTGATTTTAACTCCGTAAATAGACCGTTATTTTCGAACCGCAAAAAGTGGTTCGACATAGTGTCTGCTGAGATTGTTAATTGGGAAATGTGACGACACGGTGCAAATTCTTTTCACATTACATTCAATTGAAAGTAATTTAGACTGTTTCAGAGACCTATTGAGTCTCTTCAGAAGTAAAAAACTATGAAACTAATAAACCTAAAATAAAATCCCAATTCCAACTTGTCCTTTATTATTATAATATCCAAAACCGGTATTCAAGGTCATTGAATATTGAACACTAGACATCGTATTACTGGAAAATAGTATCAACTTACATTTGACGAAAACCGATTAGGACTTGAGTATCGGGTTTGGGTTACTTTCTCGGATACGAGGTTGCATTTTTAACGCTCTTTTAGACGGGTTTCGACTTTAGAGAGGAGTACGGAAATGGAATGGTCGGCGTAAAACATCGTTTGCTTGTTTTGAGAAATATATTTCGTCCCCTCAACCTTGGAATTATTAATTTTATTTCAAGTTTTCATCTTAGTCTGCATCCACAATCATCTATTAAATATAGCAGCATTGATGTCGGTATACCTCGAATCAAATTGATTACGGTATCGTGCCACGGTAAAATTGTCAGCTTTGATGTTGTAAAATAAAATGAGTCATCTGTTTCTGATAAAATCAAAACCTGTTTGAGGTTGTATTGATCTCATATATTGGTAATGAACTTGGTTGCTAAGCTGTTAATAATAATTTTGTTTAAACAGAGACTCGCGTTCAACGGAATTCTGATACTCAGAATTTATGTTTAAATCCCTCGTGTGTTTTAATGGATTACTACGTTAGATAGCAATCCAAGATACAGAAATATACTTCGTAGTATTACTTACATCAACAAGATACCGCCAACACACAGGAACCATTCCACACTGTTGGATCACTTCAACAATCCTACCACACTGTTGCTTATCTAACAGCACGCACACATAACCTGAAACAATGGACAAACTATGTTAAACAATTGAACAACACGTGGTAAACACATTCCAGATTCTGTGTTGAATACTAATACCCAAATCCTCAGTCACACAACTTTGAAATACTTTTTTGCATATTTCTTTCACATTACCTTTTAGAAACAATTATGATTTTTATGGGGATAAGGAAAACGATACATGGAAATAAGATCTCAACTCTTGGAGCAAAAAAGTAAACATTAGTATTTTGAAGTTAGGACACTTCTTCATTTGAGCACATATCAGTCTCATCATGGCCGTCTCATAACCTTCGAATATGTGTAATCACAGTTGTGCTAGCAACCATTATCAGTTTGCATAATAAATGTTATCAAGACAATAACGCTTTAATAGCGTAATAGATACTTATTAAGTCCATATAAAGTAAACGGTTTCCATGACTCAAATTGCAAGCTAATAATGTATTGGATAATAGAAATCGAAAATAGAAGTCCTTTAGAAAGACAAATAGTACACAGAAAAGAAAAACATTACTCAACAGCAATCTAAATTAGTCGAAAGCAATCAAGGTGTATCAACAAATTTAAGAAACCTCTTTTCGAAGAATCATCCAACAGAAATGAGGAAAGACGTTATATTTCTGAGAATTTATTGTAAGGTTACCTTCTTGACTTCACCTTTTTGAGTCTAAATTAAAAACGTGAAGAATGACTCAGCTTCTTATACCTGATTTAGTAGGCACTTTAGAAAATACTCCAGGAGAATGAAGCCATTTGAGTCTAAGGAGCTACCACAAAGGTAAGATGAAAGCTACGTTTTAAAGGATAAAAATGTTGAAAATTTTAAAGATACAGTAATCAAGTTTGGAGAAAATATCCATAAAAGTGGTTTGTAACCATTAGGAAGCAATAAGGAGAACGGAGAACCTGCTTGGCACCTAACCAAATTGGATGATATTAAAATATTCGCTGAATTGGGAAGCAACGAAAGTTCACGTTTATATTTTTCGATCAATCCGTTTCGATACAATTTCGATTTTAACCTTTTTCAAGCAGTTACTACTTAATAATATGTCATTTTGTATGTAGACGTAGTTTACCAATTTAAACTGTCAAACACCAAGCGGACACCGGTGACCGCAACCTATTGTTCTATAATTGTGTCTATAATGACGGTACTCGACGAGTTAATTGGTTTGAAAGAAATCAATCACTACGTCACTTTAACTTTGTAAGTAGTTTCAACGGACTTTAATCTTAACTTTAAGATTCTGTATAAAAATTTAATCAGCTTAAACAATTTGCTCCGTCAGAACAACTACACCTAAATTACATTTCAAATCGCTTAAGAATATGATTATGAAGGGGTAAAAGCAAAGCCAAAACGTTGAGCACCCATTTTGGACTTTCAATTGCTGTGATTAAGTTTACTTTACAGAAGCAAGTAATTCAGTTTACTTTCACTTGCCTCGGGCAGTCATATCAATGAGATCCACACCTTTAACGTCTCCCAAGAAACGTGAACAATTCCTATTTACAAATCGTATTTCAAACATTTCCATTTTGATTATTTTCCTCTACGACTACATTCGATTTTGTAACCACGTCAACATTTCAATTACTGAATTTACTTTCATTAGCTAGTTCCATTATATTGCAAAGGTTATTTTGAGCATTAAATTCAATTGTCAAGTCACGAATTACTTCTTACGTTTTACATTTTACATTTCATAATAGACACACTAAGAAACCGTGACGTCGTTATCTGTGGTAGATGAAAATGCTACTGACTGATGCGATAATAACTTATTGTACATATGAAGGTCGTATTAATACTAATTACTAATTATCTCCACACGTGTGCCAGCACCTGTCACCAAATTTAATCATGGAAACCATACGTGGAGTAGGCACGATGCTTTAAATGACATATGATTTGTCATGTCCATGAACCTACTGGTCTGTGAAATTCCTTATACAGATTTTCGTCGTTATTACAAAAGGGTAAAGCTGAATATCATTTGAAGAGATAGATTGGTAGGTATACTTTGATGAGCTGTCGTCAGAACAATGCATGACAACAGTGAAGTAAATTACAAATGAAACCTTGGACAGTCTTTCCGCATACCGAAAGGCTTAGAACAGATGACAATCACTTGTTGCGATTATGACGTATCTTTTTGCTTGTTGCTAGGTACCTACATTATTATGTATGAATGAATGTTTGCTTACTTGTGCCCAGCTGTGTTTTATCTGTTGCTAAACTATCAGATCTAAAACATAAAAATACGTGTAAGCAATTCGATGACAAATTGTCGATTTTAGATTGCAATTTTCGCTTATTATTGAACACGCAAATTAATGATATTCTCAAGAAAATAAACGTGGTTTAGTCGAACAGTACGTTAACTCCAGTGCCATTGCCATCATTCAATAAAACCTAGTTTACGACATTTGTATAGCAATAAAAAACTTTCTTTAAAAATATTACAGTTAGCAACGAGAAAGCAAGCATAAAACTCCATAGAAACCTTCTACTGGCGTTTTGAACGAATCAATAATTTATTTTCGTACAAAATTATGTGTCGCGTGTATTAGGCCATTTAAGGGCGAAGGCGACACCTAGGCTAAATAAAAATATTTCCCACGTTCCATGATGTCATGTCAACGACCTTAAACAAAATATATTACGATGCTCGTATGATTTAGTATTCTATTCCACTTATTTTACGGTTAAACTTTAAATGGTTTTATATCAGTCGGTATGCTGAATATTTTCAAACAGGTAACTAGAAAACTTCACAGTCAGACAGATAGGTACAATTCCGTTTTCTAGGTATAATCATTTCGAAGATTAGGTAAGTACTGTCTATCAAAGATACACACCTGCTCGATTGAATGCTAACCTGCTTAAGATAATTTCGATAATAAAATACCTAATTACATCCATTTATAGAGCAACGATAGAGCCCAAAAGTTACCAATTTTTTGGATCAACAATGTCCTTCTCAGGCCCGATATTAAATATCATTTTTTACTTTAGAATAGAAACAAGAATGAAAAAATAATGATATCATAAATCACGTGTTTTAATACTATTATGTTTGAACCAGTGAACTGTAAAATTGAAGCCTTTTCAACTATATGGTTACGTAGCTAAGGGTCATAATTTGCTTTAAACAAAGTCTTTTATTCAACAGGCGTTGTTCTTGCATCTTTAAGAACATGATATGCGATACTGGTTCTTATTCCCTCTACGTTGTCTTACTAGCTAACCTTTACGATATCGTACTAAGTGCAGAATCAATGAAAGTCGTAGCAGTAACTTATTTAAGTAAAGCGCATTTGTAATTTAATCCTGTTCGGGACTGCAACTCCAATTTTGAGATCTTCGTTTCCAAGTTAGAAAAAAATAACTACCTCGGTAACTAACACGATAACATTTAAAAAAATGCGAACAATATCTTCAAAATGGGCAAAAATAAGTAAAATGGCTATAATCTATGACAAAAACTTGTCTTGATAACAGATTACATGCACAAACACGTATGAAACTGACAATTAATAACCATCTTCAGTACCGAAGGATAGTTAAATATGGTTTTTGTTAAGATTTAAACTGAACTTCTATAAATCATTGTACCTACACCTTGAAATCATACACCGATGCAAATAACATAAGAACAACTGCAGTTTCTGTAATATCTAATGAGGTGTGTCTATGTTCTTGGAATGTTAAATAGCTTCCTGTACGTCTTCATTGTCAACGACTAAAAAAAGCCTAGCAACGACTTTGGTAATACCAAAATAAATATTCAAGAGAGAAGAACGATAAAAAATGCAATTTTACACTCATAATACAGACCTGTCACCAAATACTCAAATTTTTTTCCAAAACACAGAATTCCTTGACTCGGGTCAAAACCAAAAACCACAAAATTTCAAAATCACAAATCAAGCACAGAATCACACACAAAACTGGCACATTCCATCGTGTATTCGGCCCCTCCACGCCACAGTGGTCTGTGAGCGCGGTAATCTGCGCCAGAGCACGCAAGCTTCCGTCCGTAACGCACACCCACCACAAATCAACTGAGCAATGTACGAGCGAGCGAGGTAGCGATTATAATGATACAGTAGACGGACAGGCGGAATGTTGATATTCGATAATCGTATTGGACTGGATACTTGATGGTAAATTCAAGTTAGAATAGGAGACTAACTAGTTATTAAGATTTTAGAAAGACTTTGCTTGTATTGTAACCGATAGGTAGAAACTCAAATATATAAAGGATCAAAAGAGTTGTTCCCCTGATGATAAAATGGCAAATAAAAGGTCTGATTTTTTGGAAGACGCCTAATAATTATACCATTTGTGACTAAAGTAAAAATTGGGAATTTTTGCCAAGTAGTTATCATCACTCGGAAATGAGCGATAAAAGGATGACAGAGTGAAACGCCCCCTTTTTGAATACCAGTGAGACATAACATAGTTTTCAACAACAAAGTAGAAGTGTGGATGATATTTCCTGTGTATTTATTGAATTCGTCATGAGCTACTAAACGCTTGTTACTTGCAACGGATTCCACGTATCAGTTGCCATCCGCCACAGCCATGCCGCTGCGCATGAGTAACGAGGTCCCGCCACAGTAAACATTAGGATAGAAGGTCCAACTTCACCTGGAGCCTTCCCACGCAATTTCTAACTCTGATATCTCTGAATTTAAGTACTAAACTTTCGTGTGTCTACAACGATGCATTCAAGCGGTTAAATTAAGCATCAGATACCTGTCAAAATGGTCATACATGGCCATTTTGGTCCAGTAACGCCAAAAAATCGCTTTGTGGTTGTTTCGACGTACGACACAAAAGAAACTATTGAAACAAATTCATAGAAGATCTGTGACATCGCAGATAGCTTGAAGATCATGTAATAGGTATGCCAATTAGGTGTTTTCTAATAGTTTAAAGTCAACCTCCTGCAATTATTTACAATGTGGTGTACATGCGCACACGCACGACACAGAACCAACAATGATATGCTCATCGCGTCCAGATTTAGAAGATGGTTTCACGGATAAGCCTACGCTTGGCAAAGTAAGACCATTTAGATAATTCCAGTTTATAAGGAAAAGTAGAAGAAGGTTGTTTATTCAATGAAGTATTTCATTTCATTACTTCAATAATTTTAATGGAAAACGACTAAAACTTTGGTTTAACTTTGAAAACAAAAGCCGACCGAGACTAGGAAAATTAGAGCAACGGCTATTCGACCGCAATTATTTCGTCAAGCGTGAACAATATACTAAGTGGAGTGCCTACTATAGAACACAACACTGGAAGCTGAAATTTTGGTCCAAATAATCGTAACAGGAGGACGTTATAAATAAACTACAGATTAGGCAGCATGTTTAACAGTTATTCCATAATTAAAGAATGTATATGGTAAGTCTTATTTAATGAGGTGTCCAATTAACTTATACACATATTTTGTATAATCCTCTGATAACGGATTAAAGAAAATACAACCAATCCAATGGAAACCTCCAGTAGTTACTCAATCAGTAATATAACTAATAGTATAATCTGCTTTAAATAAACCATGACAAAATCATGCATATTTTCATCCTACATTAGCTTTACTCAACATGCATTAAAGTCCTGATTATCCAATATCCATCCCATTTCAAATTAAAACGTTTCAATCTGATCCTTGGCACTTACGTCACGCAAGACCGAAACCAAATCAAGAAATCGGTTTTGCGTGGTGTACTGAGAGAGTGGTTTCCTAACTAGATTTTCCAACTTGATAGAATATTCCAATATTTAATCATTGCTATCTAAAGTTAGGAACTACGTTAATACTAACATAACTTCAACTCTGACATTCCGAATTTATAGAAACGTTATCGAAAATAGATTTTAAAGTTATAGGTTCTATCTATTTCCAAAATAAACTAGAAGTAGGGTTAAAATCAATAAAATTAGTGATAGTTTCCCAATCTGCTCATTCTTAGCAGAGTAATAATCCAAATGTCTTAACTGAGACTATTTTGTTATACAATTTTAGTGGAAGTAACGTTACCTATTTGCTAACTACTACAGATACGAAGGCATTTCCTTTCCCAATAGAACATAGATTGTACCATTAGTGTATAATGTACCATTAAATAAAGCAAAAAGCATTTCAGGTGGCAGTTTCAAAACTAAGGTCTTCTAAAACAACCACAAAACAATTCAAGGTCAAAAACGCCCGCATGATTTTGTCATACAGCTAAAGTAAAATTGAACGACATTGACCCTGAAAGGTCACAGTCATGGCTGTATTTCAATGTCCGAAACGACACTGCCTGGTTCCACGTTAATTACGGAAATTCGTGTGTGAATAAAGTTCAAAAATAACTAAGTTTTGGTACATATTTTAGGATAATTTAAGCAATGAAGTATGAAGTAAGTTTAACTCGTCGAGTACCGGTTTTGTAGACACAATTATAGAACAATAGGTTGCGGTCACCGGTGACCGCTTGGTGTTTGACAGTTTAAGTTATAACTGTAGAAGGTTATTTGTTTTACACATTTTAACCCGTCGTGTGTCTAAACATGGATCCACGCGAGACACAATGTATTTTCTTTAAATTATTGTGTCTCATATACAGGCACTCAAGCGGTTAATAATGAAATAATTATTTTACATATTATTAAGGAAATCTAGTAGGAATCAATGCAATATTTAGCGAGTAATGGATTGGATGACAGTAATAGAGAATACCCTGAAACAAAAAGTGCGTTCATCTGTTTTCATTGTGCAATAAAGTGCAAATTAAATAAAATTATTTTGGCACAACAACAGATTCACAAAAACAAAGTCATTTCGCAAAGAATTTAAATTAAAGCTAAAGTATCTAATGTAATGTAACGTCTTAATATTCTTGCACGAGTTGATCGGAAGGCAGAAGAAAATAAAAATGTTATTTATAAGTCTCGCGACTAGAACAAGGCAAGCTTAGGAAGCCACATACATCAGTAATGTCACGAACATAGTTCGCAACAGTGCGTAACAAATGCTACTATGTAGATGATAAGATTATTAATGTTCAGTAACTAACCTACTTTCCATGATTGACTGCAGTTTTGTACTGAAGTAACAACGCAATATTTCTAAAATGATGTTATAATATGGACACATGTAATTCCTCGAAAGTCCGTTAAAAGAGAAAGTATATTTGCATTGGACACTGAATGGCAGAAATGGAACCCTTTCCGGTTCCATAAAGAGCTCAAAAGATTATAAAATAAAAGAGAATAAAGAGATGTTTTGGATACTTATATACTAAAATAACGTAGACGATGAAGAAGTAACAACATTATCAAACAAACGAGATAATAAAAACACTGAGATTGAAAATGTTATGAAGCGTAAATATTCCGTAAACGTTATTAACGTACAAGGTTCAAAAAATAATGTTATCAGAACGCTAACAAGGAACTGATAAAGCGAAGAGCTTACAAAACTGTTCGAGGGTCGCACTAAGTGGTGATGAATAGCACGGTCTTACATTATCTCCAACGGACACTAATTAATTTTAATTACTTTTCGTGTTTAGGACGTGACGCCTTTGTCAGTCGTGATGGATTGGAACTTATTTTCAGATTGAGACTAGCTAGAGAAACCTTTCAAATTGCGATTTGTTCAGGCGATGTGATATTTTCGCGATTACGTCTAGAAACATCTGTTTGAAATAATTTTGCAAACAAAAGGATTACCTTTGAGGTTTAAAATCGTCTTCTATCACCGTCGAAAAAACACAGTGCAAATATTCCAGTTTGTAGATATTAGACACGGTTTTTTCCAAATTACATATTTCAAAACAGGAAATAAAAATAATGACTAAAAAACGGACGTACACGTAGAAGCCTGTAGTTTGAACCAAACACAACTTAGGTAGAAGGTACTTTCAACAACAAGGTTCCACTAAAATTAAGAAGTTATGCCAAGACCAAGACGCTCTTCAAACAGCTCCTGAATTTACGAGAGCTCTCATGAATTATTTTAACGACTTCCGATTCTAATTATTTGATACCGAAACGTGGAACATGATGTTCAGATCTATTTATACCGATAAGGGAAGGTACGGAAGACCGTAATGGCGTAATGTCATCATCAAAACGAGACATCGTCAAAGGAGTTTAAGAGTTTGTTGAACCAAAGATCAAGAATAATATCAGAAAAAGCTTATTAAAAAGAAACGTGTCTACAAAACATTTTTTGCTATAACTAGGAAGCCTTTAAATAGTTAAGTTAATCGATATGCACGTGTACCAACTACCCGTACATTTAAATTTTTAAACAGTTCACCGTTTAGTCTGTTATTAGATGCCGTAGTTCGTACGCCCCTTCACCCCAAGGTACAACTAAATATTTTATTGTTTACTTTCCAGGCGTACTTTTTTTAAATTGATGTTATTTACGGTTGTTTTTAACCTCATTTATATCTTACTGTTTTAAAAATTGGTATGTAAGATTAGGAATTCCAATTTACAAATCTGATTTAACGTGGTTCTACTTTTGTGATGATTCTAGAATCTAGACCACGAATCAGAACAGGTAGGAGCCGCAGCTGGTCGAAATAGTAAACACCATTAGCACCAATAAAACCCCATGTAACTTTAACGAGACGTCGACCTTCCGAACGGGATAAATAATAATATCATTTCACATCTGAACGCGGATTCTGGATCACAAAAGCCGAAACGTGTTTGCCCCTTCTTAGCAACGCCATTCTTATTGCGCAATGCCGGGCACATTGGGCACATGTTTCTGAAGCAAATTGAACAGTTCGGCGGTCACATGTGGACGTGAGGCTGGCTAATTGGCGTCAATTCTCACTTCGTTGACCCAGGGTGAGGGACTCGTAGTATCGAATGTCGAACGATGTCGATTCGGTAGGTTGCCGCTAATAAATACCGCGACATTGATGTTAGACGGTTTTATGAACTCCGATAGTTGTAACTTGGGCTATTTTGCTCTTTATGCAGCCTCATTTTAGGGTATATATTTTTATTTATTTATTTATTTAAAAAACTTTATGCACACAAACAAGTACATGGGTGGACTTAATGCCGCAGGCATTTTCTACCAGTCTGACCCTTGGGTGATGCAGAGAAAGTAATCAGCGGGTGCAAGAACATGCTTTGAATTTAATTGTTTGAAAGAACACATATAGGTATAATTCGACAATATACACAATATATATATACTACAACACAATATAATGGGTCCTGCTTCCATGGTAACTTTCGCAGCTGATGCGGAAGTCTTTCAGAAATCGGGAATAGTCCAAAATGTGTAAGGACTTGAGGGAAGCTTTGTTTCTTGTTGAGAGAACCTTGAATCCTCTTTTAGCCTTTCAAAAATTACACAAACGGCTCAATAAAGCATTTTCCTAAATGTTTTTGTATTGTGACAGTCCAATTATAATACTTCGAGACGATCATGTGGATGACCTTGTGCTAACTTGTCCATTCATCCTTTGAGTTCGAAGTTCGAGCATACGATTTACGTAAACTGAATTCTGTAACCGAAATTAGGGAATGTGACAGTATCACGTTGACGCCAAATTTTGATCTCGCCCCTTCGATTTATTACGTCATCTCAACGGTTGGGGTTAAAATATATCACACACTTATCAAGTCTGATATAAAAGATTTTTTTTAAAAAGGTTTGTAGGTAACCATTTTTTTCGCGTCTATGCAAAAAAAAAACACCATTCAACATTTTGATAGCTATTATTAGTTACCTGAACTTCATATTGATTTCGATTTTAGGTTATTCGAAATTTAAATTATGATCGAAAATAGTCCCAGTAGGTACCTAGTTAGGCAGATAAGGAAACTGAATTACTGTTATCAGCATGTTACATATTTTTTCCTAACACAGTCAATTTAAATAAAAAATAGTATGAATATGATAAAAGTCCATAGTTACCTAAATATAATCAAATGAGATGTGTTGTATTCATAGTTTTTATTATATAGTAGTGTTTTTATATTATTGTCTATCATCTATGCCAAATAAATGCTTTCCTTCTTTCTTTCATAATGGGTTCCTAAGTTATTTGTTATTTATTTTAAACTTTCAAACAGAGTATGCTACTACTAGAACATAGGGAACATAGGCTAGTACATTAGGGTCCATTTCAGAACATTGTATGTAAGTATGCATAATTATATTGAATTTTATCTTAAGAACAATAGCATATACCTACCATGACTAGAGTAATAAGAATTTTCTACAAATCTGATGTGACTGATCAACTATTATAATAAGTAACTATAGAATAATAGTTTAGATAAAAAATTCTATAGACTAGGCATTGAACTAACAGTAGATAGCTGAGTATGAAATGAAATGGGTAGGTAAGATTTTTTCACTGCACAAAAAATGAGGTGAACATTTTGACTTTACATTTTACCTATGGCAAACTAAAGTATGTTACCATTTGAATGTAGCTAGTTTTTTATATACCTAAACTATGTTATTTTAACATTTGTGTTTGAGTCTTAACTTTACAGAAATAAATAGGGGTAGGTAAGTACTTAAACTGTCAAACACCGCAAGGACAAGCACCGCAAGGACACCGGTGACCGCAAAATTGTTCTTTAAACTGTCAAACACCAAGCGGTCACTGGTGACCGCAACCTATTATTCTATAATCGTGTCTATATTGACAGTACTCAACGAGTTAATTGTGTCTATAATGACGGTACTTAAAGGGTTAAATGACCAAAGAAATAAGTAGGTGTAATTAAATGACCAAACTTGAAGGTCAATATCCTATGACCTATTATGCAGATTGCTGATATGACAAAATAAGTTGCTAACTGGTGAATGTGTTTACAAAGTTCAAGTTTCAGTCTCAAAGTTTTAAAATGTTGTTTTCAATACCAATATTACTCAGTTGTTACATCATTGTAATTAGTTTTTATGACTGACATTCATAAAAACCAGTAGGACAAGTCTTTGACAATAATTTGGAATCTATGAAAATAACTAACTACTTCAAATTATATGGGTAATTTACATGAAAACGCACGGAAAGTTATTATTCAAATAGGTACTAAAAATATACAGATTTCCAAGTTTATAAAACCGTATGAATAATGTTTTATAAATTAATTATAAATCTACACTTTCCCCATGTATAATATCAACACATATTGTAGTGATTCATCGGCGGGAAGTCGGCATTATTAACTTTGCTACTGGAAAACTGGTTACTAGTATTGGGAATACAAATTCTTACAAGGTTAGGTCACTTGGAGTAAATTTAATTATAGGGGATATAGCCTGTAATGTCCACGAGGACGTGGATTTACTTGTAATATTACAAGAATTGTCATAAATGTCACGTTTTACTGCAAAGGCGGAGCCGAGCCGACCGTCGACAAGCTTGGGCGATGGCGGTCAAGTAACGGCGGCTTCAACTTCAAATCATCAAACTTTATATCACTTATCAGTAGCTTAAATGGACATTGAGGATCTATTTATGAAGTAATTTAGATAATAATGAATACTTACCACATGACAACGATAGATTACATCAATTTTCGACATTCACTCACAACACAAAACACTTGGCATCCACGAATCACGATTCTGTTTGACAGACAATGACAGGCAGTCACTCGCTTCGATACTAGCGCCACGTAACGAATTTACGTGAAGTTAGTAACAAGAAGCGGTTTTGCCAACATTATGGACTAAACTGAAAGTTTGAATAGAAGTCTATTTGCACTCTATTATAATTATCTCTCTCCTCACTCAAGACCAGAGGAGGGGATAGATTGGGTTAGATGAATCCACATTTACAAGGCTCGAAGATCTTATTTTATAACGTTATTAAAACAATTTATACAGTTAATTATTATGTTTTTGGCATTCACGTAACTGTTTATCAAGGAACTCGATGCGTTTCAAGCCATGCTTAAGGCTCCTTCATAACCAGCTTTTCTGCGACATACGACGCGGCGATTGTCGCACTGCTACTGGCTATCATAATAATTAATTTAGTATATGTTGCGAATGTTTTAATATGAACAATTTATACAGTTCTCTAAACATAACTTTGTTCGGAATGAAAACAAAATGAAAACATTATTTTCCGGAACAAAATCGAACTATTACAGTCACACACGGAGGCAAGCATCATTTTATTAAAATAATACTCAGCATCATTTATTCTAATAATTAAGAAATACAAGAAACAAAAACTGTGGGTCTCGTGTACTTTTGACATTATCTACTTATGATTACTTAAGATCATTATTGTGTTGTGATTTGTGAGTGTGTGATAAGTGATTATGAGTTATTATTAGATAGCAGGGTTTGTTTCTTGGTAAAAAAGGGAGTACATGTCACTACATAATTTTTAATGTGTATTTGCATTTAATAATGCATTATAATAATGTTATCTGCAAAACAAATCGGTCGTGCTATAGTTTGCGACAATAATCGTGTAGGTACAAAATGTTTTATCAAATGACGAGGTGTATGGGAACACTAACGTATAAATAATAAAATAATTTTTTAAGCTTTTGTCCCTTTTCAAGTTTATTTTTTAATATTTATAAAGATATTAGCCACTTGTTCGTACCCTCATACTAATAAATAATCTTTTGACATCATCACCAGAGTGTGATATATTTGCTTCAAGCTGAAGGACTGTGTGCAACGAATGCATGAAGTTGTGTGAGTGTTTAAATGCATAACTGTATTTTATTTTATACTGTGCTTTAAGTAAATGTCTTATTATTTTATATTTATATTATGCTGATTTGTATTAAAGCCTGTCATAGTTTGTAAGGGTTTTCTTGTTACTATTGTTTGTTTTATATTTTTCTACCAAGTTTGCAATTTTTTAAGGACTTTTCTGTTTTGTTTTTCTTTTCTTTTTATAATTATTTGAAATGTATAACGCCTTGGTTTTAAGACTGTAATGTTATACTATTTAATTAAAACAAATAAATAAATAAATTAGGCTGTATACTACAAAGTCTGACATAATATTATGTGTGTGGGAGAGCCATGCTTCGGCACGAATGGGCCGGCTCGACCGGAGTGATACCACGGCCTCACAGAAAACCGACGTGAAGCAACGCTTGCATTGTGTTTCGTCGTGTGAGTGAGGTTGCCGGAGGCCCAATTACCTTCCCCTTCCCCAATCTCCCCAATCCCTGAATCCCCAACGATCCTCAAACTCCTAATCCCCAAAAAGCCGGTGACGCACTTGTAACGTCTCTGGTGTTCTAGATGTCCATGGGCGACGCCGATTGCTTACCATCAGGTGATCCGTCTGCTCGTTTACCGGCTTATGGCATAAAAAAAAAAAAAAATGTGTGATATTAGGAATTATGATTTAAAATACCGTTACGAAAAATATATTTTTTGTAAGACATATTTGGGTACAAGGATTTTGAAAGAATTTCAACTACGTCTGGTCTACGTTGTTTGGTTTGGGCATATTTGTCGGTCATATTTTTTGTGTGTTGATGAAAAATGAAAAATGTGTTTTTTTTCGGACGTTGCATCCTTATTTGTAAATTTTTGTATTGGCAATAAATTTATTAATGTCAAATTATATTTTGGCATTTTGGAGATTTAGAAATCGAAAAATAAAAAATTGAATGAATTTTACAAAATAAATAAAAATGTTATTTCGACAGTACATTAAAATTGCGCGTGCTTCAAAATCGCTGTTGCACAATAATTATGTGCTGGATAGAAAACATTTATTAAGTTCTGGTTTATATAATTCTTGTAATCATCGAACGACTAGGTTAGGATAAGTTTTTCTCATTTATTTCATTTGTAAATTACTTTCAATTAATTTACTTAAATTTTTCAGATCGATATCATTGAATTCACAATTGAGATATGCTGAAAAAATTTTAGAAGTACGAAATTCGCCTAAAATATCTCAAGATTCATTAGAAGATAAAATTCAACAAAAACCGGCAGTGTCCTCAGAGGAAGTACTTGAAAAATATATCGCAGCACTGAATACAGACATATTCCAAAAGAATAGAGTATATAAAAATGATCTAGTAAGAGTACTGACAAAAGTGAAAGAATTGAACTTTTCAACGAAAAAGCAAGGCTTACTATTAATTCGATGCTGCAGTGATTTGTTGCCTGATGAACCTGCTTCGAACAGGATGCAGTTGGTTGAAGAAGTGTGGACTACAATCCAGTAAGTTATTCTCTGATTACCCATCAATATTGTTACTTGATTCCTGTATCTGAATTAAAGTTTTAGTTGGATTTAAACTTTGTTATCAGTATAATTTTAATAGGATTATAATACTAGTATTTCTTTAAATTTATTGTGTGTATCTATCTGTATATCTATCTGCTATATTCCGCAGGGCCCACACAAAGTTTGAGGTGGAACATTACAATGAACTCCTCAAGGTATACATAGCCAACAACAGGACTATCACGGTCAGCAGTTTTATCAATCAGATGAAACAAGTGAAACCCACTATGACAACATATGAACTGATTATAAGAGCTCTCGGAGAGGTTTGTATGTTACTAAGTTTAGTTACACAGTGGTTGATCTTTGTCTAGCTTCTTGGAGATTAAAAAGCCATGACAATATCGTTATAAGACTGTTTTCAGGAATTATTAGAAATCCACCATAAATAAACTCAATCTGCTGCTCTGTAATCAAAAGAAAAATGTAGTCTATTATTATGCATGTCAATCCCCATATTAAACTGTCAAACATCAAGCGGTCACCAGTGACTGCAACCTTCTTTACTTGTGTCTATAATGATGGTACTCAACGAGTTAATATTTATTAATTTGTTATAGGAATACCTTACTGTTTTTAGAACCTGTTCATGTCTTATATAGTTAGTTTATTAGTGATAAAATGGCCTAATACCTGCTTAAAATAAATATATGTATCCTGTTATAGGCTGGTGATATAAACCAAGCTACAGAGGTGATATCCAACATGAAGGCTCAAGGACTTCCGGCTACTGAGAGTATATTTAATTCTCTTATTGTCTGTCAAGGAAAGGCAGGGTAAGTACTGTCTTGAACCACTATAATTTTATATTAATGATAACTTGGCATCACTGATTTATTGTCTAATGTGGAGTAGCCCATTCCAGTCTTGTGTCATTTTTCCCATTGGGTAAAAAAAAGGCAACTTATTGGACTGAAAACTGAAAGAGAGAACAGTCTAATCAGCACCTCTAGCCAAAAACCACTTTAGCGCTTGTCTACAGAGAGAGTAGAAATCAAAATGTATGGGGATGACACTGACAAGTGTCAAAATTTACGTCAATTCCATATAATTTGGTTTTCTATTCTACATGTAGACAAGCGCTAAATGGCATTTGGCTAGCACTGCAGCTTAGCTGTCGCAAGTTGACCAACTAATTGCTTGACATGAGCATAAATTCTGTTTTTATAATAACTATCGTGAGACATACTAAATTATGTGAAATCGCGGGTTACTCACGTGAATTTACTGAAAAAAGCCCTACTAGTTAGTAGTAGTACGCGACGACGTCGCGACCGCGCCCTCTGCTCATGAGGAAGAACCCCTCTGTGGTTCGAAACTAGTCGAGCTTTTCTCAGTATATTCACGTGAGTAACACGTGATTTCACTTAAGCATAAATTCTGTTATGTATGATTAAGCTGTAATGGCGCGAAAACAGATAATAACTGTGCTTCAAATATATGTCTATGTTTGAACTTTTTAATGAGACCATTGATGTGAAAGTTTCTTTGTTTATATATTTGACCACCAATTACACTGATACTACTGAACGGATTGTGGGGAAATTTGGTACGCAGGCAGAGTATGATAGGATACTTTTTATCCCTATCAAATGCTTCCATGAGATAAAAACAGTAATCATATTATACTCGGACTAAATCGCGGGCAACAGCTAGTCCTTACTATTATAAATGGGAAAGTGAGTTTGTTTGTTTGTTCCGCTTTCACATCGTAACTTCTAAACCGATTGCTTTGAATTTTTGCACACGTAAAATTAGAAGTCTGGATTAAATAATAGGGTACTTTTTATACCCGAAAATTTTGGTATTTCCAAGGGAAAACAAAAGAATTGATATAGATGGCACTGTGTGTATAATGTCACATAGGCTACTTTTGTCCTTTTGTGACGCGAGCGAAGCCGCGGATAAAAGCTAGTTCCTAATGAAACTTCAAATTTTTCAGTAACATCCAGAACATAAAAGAAGTCCTGACTATGATGAAGTCGCTTAATGTTAATCCATCAATAGACACATACACAGCTACCGCTAGAGCTCTAGCATTGAACAAGCAGACCGGTCCTGTTTTAGAAGAAATGGATGCCGCAGTAAGGAATGGGATGCAATTCACTGAAGCACACATTATGGATATTGTCAAGACTTTGGCCTTTGCTGGATTGTATCAGCCTATACCTAAGGTTTGTATTATATCTTTTATTGTATGAAGAACTCGACAGAAGGTTATAGTGTTAAATATTTTGCAACTAGCTACCCTTGTGGCGGTTTCCCCCGCTGCTTGACTACTATTGATGATAGAATACATAGAATGATGCCTTATTGCTTATAATTTTTTCTTGGTAACTTATACCACGGCTTCTCAGAAAATCGAGGTAACGACGACCAGCAAGCATTGTTTTCCGTCGTGTGAGTGAAGTTACCGGAGACTCAGTAACCCCCGTCCCCATTCTCCCCAATCCCCGAATCCCCATCTCAAATTCCTAATCACCAAAAGGCCGATAGCGCATTTGTAACACCTCTAGTATTTCGGGGGTCCATGAGCGGCGCCGATTGCTTACCATCAGGTGGTCTATCTGCTCGTTTATCGACTTATTCTAAAAAAAGTGGACTACATAATATCATAATAATTTTCTAATTCAATATACTAGACTCTTCCAAAGATTAGCTTTATACTATTAGCATAGATTGTAACTTATCAACTATCATTACACCTAATGCCAAACCAATCAACAATAAATTGAGAATAACTAAGATAATAATAATAATAACTTTCTTATATTTTCAGGTCTTAAATTACTTACCGTCAGAAATTCTGAAGTCGCCGTCAATTACTCCGTTGATGCAAAGTGTAACTACTTTACTGGTGTTCCAAAATCATCCGCTAGCTGCGTTGGAAATATATAAATGTTTGCCTTTACCCTCTTTTGGACCGAAGGATGACCAGGGCTTGCACGGGAGGAGTTTGGTTCGAGACTGTGTCAAAGCTTCCATGGTATGTTTAAATACGTTATTTTTTTGCCGAATACTTAACTTTAAAATGGTTTACAGACGTTATTGCCGATTTAGCTTATTTCTAAACTTGGTTTTACTTGCGGCTTTGCCCTCGTACCGTTTGCGTATTACGAAGGGTAGGTATCCAAAAATCGAAACTAAATGTATGTAATAAAGTAACAAAATTTATCAAGTAGATAAAGCTTAAAGAGTTAGCAAACAGTAAACAAACATATTTCTGCATTTGTAATATAATATTAAATTGGGATGTGATCTCAGCTAACTCAATTCTATACTGACATTGTTGTCCTAACAAAGACTTGTTGAGCAACTTGTTAAAATAATTATTTTTATAAGAACTATCGTGAGACTCGAGCTCTACTAGTTTCGAACCACAGAGGGGTTCTTCCTAATGAGCAGCGTAGACTAGTATAGCTTTTCTCAGTATTTTTACGTGAGTAACCCGCAAATTTTAGTTAATTAAGTAATTATTTCCTTAATTTCCAGCCGTCAAGCATAATAGGTCTTGTAACTCAAGAGCTAATGTCTTCAGGCCGTAATCCGATAGCCTTACAGAATGCTTGTGAAGCTGCCTTACAGCTGGGAAAGGTCCCTCTAGCTCTGGACTTAATGACCAGAATGAAACAACTTGGAATTACGCTCCGAGCACATTATTTCTGGCCCATTTTACTACATAGCTCGAAGTCCTATGGCGAGAAAGGTATGTAGCGAAATCAGAAAGTAAAATTGTAATGAAAAATTTTTAACCAATAGTTTCAATAAAAATGATTTCTATTTGTTTGGAGAAGTACGTAGTTTGAAATGTGAGTTAAGGACAACAGTGCCTTTAGACAAACGCCAGTTTAGCGCTTGTCTAAATTTTGGAAGTTTTAAAAGAAGATTTTAGGAAGATAAGATTTTGATGCGCGATACGAATCAATTCGCATTCATTTCATTTCATTTCAGAGGCCTTCGTACGAGTTTGTTTTAGGTTTAAAGTAATCGTAACGAGTACGCGTTCGGCGCTCTGGTTGGTTGGTTCATTGGTGCCGGCCAATCAGAGTGCCGAACGCATACTCATTTCGAATACTTTATACGAATAGTTTGATTTAAACTTATACTAAGTGTCTTAGCTGTATACAACAAAAAAGTATAAGATGAAAATAAATGACTGCCCCACTGGCCGAGTGGTCGCAAGTGCGACTGCCGGGCAAGGGGTCTCGGGTTCGATTCCCGGGTCAGGCAAAGTATTACTGGGTTTTTCTTAGTGGTAGCACGAAGTCTGGAACTGTGCCCGGTATATGGCAATAGGCTCACCCCCTATTACATGGGACCCATAACATAAATAGTGAAAAGTGGGTGTTATATTACAGTGAAGTGCCGTAATGTGCACCTCTGCCTACCCTTTCGGGGATAAAAGGCGTGATGTTATGTTATGTTATGAAAATAAATGCGACTAACTTTCTAGGTATAATGAACACTCTAACAACAATGGTGCAGATGGACGTCAAACCAGACTACGACACGATACTGGAATACACCTTACCCTACGTCAGCTTCAATTCCCCACAGAATTTGATGAAGAAGTTCATAGAAACTGGGTTAACAGTATCGAGTGTTTTGACACCGATGATGCAAACGTTGTTGAATACAGGGCAAGTTAGAGCGGCTAGTGAATTGTGTGAGTATTATTTTGGAGGTTATATAGTGACTTGTTTTGATGCTAGAGGCGCTGGTGTCGCTTAAAAGTCCTGTTGAGCTGTATTGCTTCATCACCAACAGCCTATAAATGCCCACTGCTGAGCAAAGCCTCTTCTCACACGGAGGTTTGAGCATTTCACCACGCTTGCTCAATGCGGGTTGGCGATTACAGACTTATAATTAGAAATTATAAACTGAGATTTCCTCACGATGTTTTCCTTCACCGTTTGTCAGTGGTGTCTGGATAATCTTAGAAAGTACATACAACTCGGAAAAAGTCATATTGGTACTTGCCGTTGGTAGGTTGCCGTTTTGAACCCGCCTCATGCATTAGAAGCAAGCCTCTTAAACCTCCGGGCCACCATGACATTATTACACAGCTGTATTGCTTATTGATTATTAATTAATTAGGTATTGGCTGGTGTCAATCTACTGCTGGTGTTTGACAAAGAAGTTTAAATTAAGTTTCATGAGTGCTATAACTAGTTTAAACAAATCAAATAAATAATTTTATTTGCAAGAAAAGTGGTCGAAAGTCATTTACAGGGTGTAAACGGAATGCTTTAGAAAAACGCCGAGAGGTTATGGTAAAAAACAAGTTTTATTATCATAAAAGTTAGGAATAAAATGGTTGTTTTATGTAATACTAGTTGTAATCAACCTCTCAAGGCAGATGTTGCAAGAAGAAGAAATAAAAAACGATTAGAATTGTAAAAAACATTTTTTTTAGCATTTTGGAAGCGTTTCGTTTCCACCTCGTACAGGTTTACAGGTATTGAACCTCATAAGGACACACAGTAGCTTTCATTATATTCATCATTGTTGAAGTAGTTTCAGTCTATTTTTGCAGTGGTTATCAGATCCTTTGTGATTCTATGATAGCTAAAGTAATATGTTCTATGATTCCTTTTCCTATCTGGTCAATGTTTCATCAAAGACTTGGAGTCATACATAACTTTACGCCTGTCTCCCATGGGGGTAGGCAGAGACTATGAAACGCCAATTGGGTAGTTTACAGGGTATCAAAATTAATAATCTAATTAGTCCGTCAGTTATATAATGAAAAAATATTAGACACGTATTTTTTTATTTACTCGTATTAGGTTGCAATACTTAGATAAAATGGCTCAAAGTTTAGGAGTGGGAGGTCGTTACGTCATAACGTGCTACAAAATGTGACACGTTGTGACGTCACACGATATTTCAAATAAATATATCTTTGAAAGTGTTCAATTTTGTGAGAAAAGAAAAAATACGTGTCTAATGTTTTAAATTAATGTACCAGACGGACATTAAAATAAAATTTGGGTAACTACCCTATTGCTACGATTCCTACGTACCTCTTTCGTTTCATCAACAGTCATCAATCTTTTCATGCATGCTCATCGGTTAAGGGTACTTTTAATTTGGCCCTTCTTTAATATATTGCCAATCTGGTCAGTATATGTTAGTAGACTTATAGACCTGGAGTTAAGGTATCTAAATTACCTACTTTTTTTCTCTTCTCAGGTGAACTATTCCAAGGTAAAGTGGATACAGAGAAACTTTTAAAACCTCTTTTAAAAGGCTACCTGATCAGTACCGATGTGACTGCCACTGTACATATCCTGGAAGATGTATCAACCAGGTCTATAGAGAAGAACAAGGACTGGGTCGGTCGGTTCCTGTGCAAGTTCATGGTACATCCGAAAGTGAAGAGCGATATCAGTGATGTTTTGAATTTGTTGAAGGTGAGACATTGATTTTGTACTAGTATCAGATTGTATTTGTGTAGGTTTATATACTGCTTAAGTAATTGTATGATTTTTTTTGTCGACGTTCAATAGTGCCTTTCTGGTCTAATTGAAATAAATGATTTTGACTTTGACTTAAAAACTTTTTGCGTGGTAAACTGTATTTTAGCATTTAGTATGATACCTAATCTTTGATTACTGATGTTTTTAGTCTCACGCTATTATTTGACGAGGAATTCAACTAGTTTCAAGCTATGTTAGAGGTTCATATTCATGAGTAGCATTCGGCGACCCGCGACTTCGATACGCGAGTAACCCGAAAAAAAATAAATAAACATGTAATAGGGGGTGAGCATATATCGAGCACAATTCCAAACTCCGTGCTACTACTGAGAATTTTTAAAAACCCCAGTAATACTTTGCCCTACCCGAGAGTTGAACCTGAGACCCTTGCCCTGCAGTGGCACTTGCGACCACTTGACCAACGAGGCAGATTGAAATAGTATAAGAACAAGAACAATACTTCTGTTTATATTCAAACATTTTCTCTTTGCTCATATGATCTTTCTTTTTCAGGGTCTAGAAAAGAGTTCGTTAAAAGTATCAACGGTGGCTGCAGATTACTGCTTGTCCCGTTATCCTGATAAGTTCGGGGTGCATGTAGGAGATCAATTCCGGGATAAAATAATCGCAGTGACGGACGAACGACTTCTAGATGACGGTGATATATTCGACCAACAGTTGCCGCACCCGGTAAGTTTTATAATATGATTCGAAAAAGGTTTCTCTCTTTAATATACGAGTTACCATCGCTACTCTTTCCGCGTATTTCATAAGAGCCACATAAAGGTATAATAGCCACTTATAAGCCATACATTTGTCAGAGAGTGGGTAGCAGTACAGGTCAGGTTTATCAAAATAAACCTAACCTAACTTAACCTCATTATCATCTCGTCTCGAACCCGCCTGCTAAACACGCAAGAACTTGTGCAGAAGAGGTTTAAAGGTTATAAATAGTTAACTTGTGCAGAAGAGGTCTAAAGGTTATAAATAGTTAACTTGTGCAGAAGAGGTCTAAAGGTTATAAATAGTTAACTTGTGCAGAAGAGGTCTAAAGGTTATAAATAGTTAACTTGTGCAGAAGAGGTCTAAAGGTTAGTAATACAATCGCCAGAACCTTTGAAGACTGTTGTAGGCAAATTCTCCGCTAACGTCGGTGACCGCCGGTGACCGCCGTGCCGGGTAACGTGCCAACTGCACGTATCAAGTGCACTTGGCACATGATTAAGTAATCACAAATGACCTACCAAGCTAATTTTCAAATTGAATAACAACTTTATTTAACTTTTTTATATTAACTCGTCGAGTACCGTCATTATAGACACAATTATAGAACAATAGGTTGCGGTCACCGGTGTCCGCTTGGTGTTTGACAGTTTAAATCACTAGTAACTTCGTTAGGCTTAGTACCTGGGTGACAGAGCTTAACTCGGTGTTTGATTGAAGATGATCGAGCTAGATTGATTTAATGTCCCCAAAACTCTGCATACACAAAATTTCAACAATTGCAATTGTATGCAAGAATTGCTTGTTTAAAGGTATATATTAGATAGATTTATGTAACATATAATGTAACTATGTAAATAAGCGTAAAATTGTGTAACATTATAGTAATGAAAACTTCTAGAAACAAATGAACGAAGAGGACTTGCGTGCTCACCTGTCAGAGTTGGAAGCCAAGGGCATGAATACGAGGGGTACTCTCAGGAAGCTACTGCAACAGTACTGTAGGGACGGGAACCTACACGCTGCCAGGGAGATTGCTGCTAAATGCCAGAAGGAAGGGGTAAGAAAATGAATATACTACAGATCATGAAGTACATTAAGTGGGTTCCAAACTGTGTCAACCAATTGTCAATCTTATTGCTTTAGGTTAACGCCGAAAATTTATCAAAGTAATTGTAATAATTTATTCATAAATCAGTACTGTAACAACTTTTCTCTTATCAAATTAATGATGTCTGCGTTTTACAGCATACTCAACCAGGGTTTAGGTTGATCTTCACCCTTTTTTCTGGGCCAATAAGGTCGAAAATAACTGGTCAGATTAAGGCTTTATAAACAAAACATCCACACTACTTTTAGATTTCCTGTAACTGTCTGGTACTATAAAATCAATACAAATATTGATCCTTATTTCTTCCCCAGGTATTCCTATCAGCCGGCATGAAGGCAGCAATATTCGATCTTCACGTCAAACTCGGGGAGCTGGACCTCGCAGAGATGGCGCTAGCGGACCTCAACAAGTCCTCGCCTAACTTCACACTCGACGAGTACAAAGTTATAGACTTTGCTACTCTTATGGTATATAGGAAGAAGATTAGCCAAGCATTCGATTTGATCACTCAGCAGTCTAAAAAGAGGTAAGGTTAATTTTTCGATACTTATAATTTTTTGGTTTACTAATGCCGAAATATCTACTGAAACGCTACTCAATTTTAAGTCGTGCTAGTCGTGGGTTGTTGGATCTCCGGTAACCTCACTCATACGATGAAAGATGAAACACAAAGTAAGCGTCATTTCACGTCGGTTTTCTGTGAGGCCGTGGTATCACTCCGATCGAGCCGGCCCATTCGTGAAAATTTTATTACAGACAGTTCATTGGTTCTGACAATTAAAATGTGGGTTATGACAAACTTACTACTAAAAAGGACACCGGTTTTCAAAAGCTGATGATATTTTGTTCACAGAAACGTAATAGGTGGGCGCGGTATAGCAATGAATTGTTGGCGACTTCTCGACGCGACGGCCGCTCACGGCTCCCACATAGAAGTTAGGAAGATGTTCGACCTACTCGTCGATAACAAATACTGCAAGCCTAGTAATGTCATGCTAGGGCCACTTATACGAGTGCATTTGAAAAAGTAAGTTTCTTTTTGTGTGATTTAGGAAATTAGGTCTTATTGTGATGGGGATTAAGTTTGTTTTTCTGTGCATGATGAATTGATTTAGATTTAGTAATAGTTATAAACTGCCATGGTGTTCGAGTGTTCGTATGACTACCAAGCAAGCGGTCTCGGGTTCGAATCCCGGGACAAGCAGAGTATCATCACAATTTCCCATTTAAATTAAGTAAAATCGCGGTCGCCGCGACCGCGCACGCTGCTCATGAGGAAGAACCCCTCTGTGGTTCGAAACTCTTTTACTCAGAGCTTTTCTCAGTATATTCACATGAGTAACCCGCGATAGCACAGAACACATCTAGAACATCAACATCAACTCAAAGCACAATTGTATATTTTTCACCAAAATCAAATAATCTTACAATTTAATTTTCTTTCAGTGACAACCTACAAGAAGCAGTCAACGAGTACATAGCTTTAGCAAACAAATACAATAAAACTCCTTTAAAACACGAGTTGCTATGTAAAATACTACTTAACATGAGCGACGGTCAATCAGAAGAGAACTTCTTAACCAATGAGAAGTCTAATGCGAGACTGAACAAGTTGGCGCAGATCGTACTGAACATTGATAAGAAGATTCATGGCCCGGGTGATGTACAGGTAATCTCAGATTTTATGATGAATTATAAATTTTAATTGCTTCGTTGGCCTAGTGGTCGCAAGTGCGATTGGCAAGGGGTCTCGGGTTCGATTCGCGGGTCGGGTAAAGTACTGGGTCTTCAAAAAAAAATCTCAGTAGTAGCACGGAGTCTAGAATTGTTCCCGGTATATGGCAATAGACTCACCCTCTATTACATGGGACTCATAAAATAAATAGTGAAAATTGGGTGGTTATATTGTACAGTGACATTAAGTGTCATAATGTGCACCTTTGCATTCCCCTTCGGGGATAAAAGGCGTGATGTTATGTTATGTTATAATTTTCAGTTAACAATAATAGCAGCATTAGCAGAAGTTGGCTACAAGAAGACCTTACGTAAAATCTTCCTCGACCCTACAATAAAGATACACCCGGACGCCATATTGCGACGCTGCGAGCGATTCGCTGATGAGAAGAAAGTCAAGGCTTTGGAGGTCATCGCCGAGTGCGGGAAGGATTTGAGACGAGTCGACGTTATAGAGCTGTATGATCTAATGCTGGATGTTCATCGTGAGTAGCTTTGATTTTTTTGTAAGAATTAAATTAATTGTCTTTAAGGCATTGGGAGACGCCTATGTTCCCCACTAGACATCGTTTTATTTATTTATCACGGACAATAATATCACTACATAGTATAAAACAAAGTCGCTATCCGCAGTCTGACTGTCCCTATGTATACTTTAAAACTACACATCGGATTTTGATGCGGTTTTTTAATAGATATAATGATTCTTAAGAAAGGTTTATATGTATAATACATGCATATTGCACCCGTGCGAAGCCGGGGCGTGTCGCTAGTATATAATATAACACGAATGAATAAAATAATAGATTTAACAAATACACTCCTCATGACTTTGCCACAGATTACCATAAATCTACTTAACAATAACAATAACTACACAAACATAGGCTGATATGGTGATGATGAAGAATTAAGATGCTAAAGACCGGACTATAAGAAATGTAGCTTAGTGGCAGCCCCACAATGTGACGCAGTTCTATTTGTGTATTTAGACCAAACAATAAGGACAAACTCCTAGTTATAAGATTGTTCTTTAGTTTTCTAAAAAAACCTTTACACTTAGTATTATCCTAACGGTTCCGTTGATAAATCTTGATACTCTCCTCCAAGTTACTAAAATATCTCTTGGAACTATTTTTAGTCTATTTCACTAACCACATAACTAGACAAAAGGACTGTGTCAGATAAGGTAAGGTAAGTGAAGACTGTCTCGTTGGCCGAGTGGTCGCAGGTGCGACTGCCGGGCAAGGGGTCTCGGGTTCGATTCCTGAGTTAAGCAAAGTATTACTGGGTGCTTCTCAATGGTAGCACGGAGTCTGTAACTGTGCCCGGCACGGAATATAGAATACAATGGAAGTAGCTTGAAACAATATTTCTGCCAGAACCGGTGTCGCCAAACTAATACATTTATAATTTACTCATACTATAAATCGGAAGTTACGATTGGTTAGAAAAAAAAATGGGCGTAAACGAAATGCAAACAAAATATCATACGATATGCAACTTTAAAATCACTGCACTATAAATCAAAATTAAAAATTATATTTTGGACTACCAAGTACCGCTATTCGTCGCTATATGGCGTTTAACAATGCCATCTAGCGACGAAAAGTGGTACTTGGTTTGAACTTTAACGTCGTAAGAATAAAGGTGATATTTGAATGGCTTATCACTGGCTCGAATGCGGGTCTCTACTCAGATAGTGATGTAGCCTAATTCGATAAAAATAATATCGATAATATGAAAATGTGTTTTAAATATAATGTGAAAAAAAAAATAATGACTGCGATAGTGTGACAGTATTAAAATAATAAAATTAATATGTCGTTGATAACTTTTTAAACATAACAAAAAAGGGTAAGTATTTATTTGCATGTAAATCAAAAACCATTTTGTTCATATTTTTTATTAGTTTTTTCAAAAAATCATTTTTTTTTATTTCACATAGGCAATATAAGTAACAACTATTACATAAATTTTTACAAACTTTATATAGATAATGTGATAAATGAGAGGGATGGCGATAAGGATGACGGTGCTGATCTGCTCCGTGAAGTGAAGGTTGCTTCCAATCACGTCGGGGTCACCACTAAAATAATAATAAAAAAATAATCTAAATAAATGTTACATTACACTTGCATCGATATTAATCGATAAATATGTAATTTGACCACATCACTATTTGAGTAGCGTAGAACTGGCGAGAATGTTCTATTGAATGGAATAAATCCAAAATAAACTTTATGTTGAAGGTGTAAAGTTGATTTTGACTAACCGTTTTAGTAAATAATATTATTTTAATAACCGTTTTTGTAAATTGAAATAAAATAAGATTATAACAAGAAAACAATGAATATTGTACTTACCGATGATACGAAACACCTCCATTTTTACGATTTTTCGGCTGCTATCATTTTTATACGCCAAAACGGAACAAAACGGCATAGTTGAGGTAATATGTATTTGTCACGAGACTAGCAACTCGACGCCATGTTCGAACGAGACTGAACTCGAATTTGCCTCGAGTAAGCAGTACACAGCTTAGTTGTGGCACGCGTGCCACGCCTACTTGCTACTTCCATTGTATTCTATATTCCGTGGTGCCCGGTATATGGCAATAGGCTCACCCCCTATTACATGGGACTCATACCATAAATAGTGAAAAGTGAATGTAACAACATTGAACAGTGGCATAAGTGCCGTAATGTGCACCTCTACCTCACTTTCGTGGATAAAAAGCGTGATGTTATGTGACTATGTAAGATCATTTAATTCTCTTTTACAGAACGAGAAGACAACTGCACAGAAGCATTGGCATTATGGACGAGAATGCAAGAACAAGATATAACACCATCACAGAAATTTGTACATACATTAATAACTATGATAAAAGCGAACAATAGAGACGTTCCAGTTGGACTAGCCATGTTACTAAATAAAGAAAAAAAGAATGCTTTGAAAGACTGAGGTTTTTAGGCATGTGAATTGAAATCCGTTATTGTAGTGTCTATTTGTAGGTGGTTCTAAACGGGTAATTAATTATTTTTGTTTGCAGTACAGCGGCTGGCAACACTACCGGTTATATTGGCATCAAACTCAAACTCAAAAGCATTTTCCAATTAAACCATGATTAGGTCGTTTGGAAACGTTAACAAATAAAAAATAAATAATAGTCTGTCCGTCAGTGCAGCTAGGGTCGTTCCAAAAAGAGATTAGTGGAGAAGTAGGAGTAGGAAACTCTAATCTTTTTTATTTACCAATATCCTAAAGTTTTTTTTATATTGGCCATGTTTAGCCATAATGTTGGCTCAAGGTAAACGATATATGCTTACCAGATTGCACTGACAAACAGGATTTTTAACTTTGTCTGATAAGTCGAATGGTAACCTGATATTGCAGAAAAATATTTTAATTTTATTTTAACACGCTTTGAAGAGCCGTGACGTTTGCTAGGAATGAATCGGTCCTCCAAAGTATTTTTTCTAGTTCTATAATAAAATAAAAATATTTGGACGTCTGTCTTACAAACACCATGTATGTGTACCACCTATATTCTTATCCGTTGCACTCTTTTTGTACTGAATTATTTTTCAATGTTTGATTATTTATATATTGATGATACACGACAGTAATTTGTAGTTTCACATAACAACCCAGTGTTGAACTTTGAACCTTTCATGTTATTATGTTTTATTGTCGAAGATTTAAGAAAATATATCAAAATACTGCACCGCACAAATGTCGCGATTAGTAAAATGTCCTTAAGCAAATCAATGTAATTTGAATTCAATGCCGTCGTTAATACAGTCGTATTTTCCGTTGAAGTGTAGCATTTTTTAGTAAGTAAATTATCTAGTTTTATTATACAATATTTGAATATATCTGTGATATTAAATTATTGAAGTAATAAACTAATAAAATGTTGTTTATATGCTTTGTTTTAATTTGAAACCTGCTGCGTGCAAACGAGAGTTAGTTTTTTCGCGCCACTAGAGGCGCTGAATCCCCTATACTTATTATACTTTGGGCGCTGATATCGCTTTAGGCCTATTAACCCGTTGAAAATCATCCCTAAATTTGTTCATAAAAAGTAGTCTCTAAACATTGGAAATAAGGTATATAATGTAGTTAGTGGAGAGTGGTCACCGGTGACAGCTTGGGAATACATATATGGGTCCTATACTCAAATCATTAGTCAGTTAACTTGTGCCCGCTTAGCTGATTGTATCAAAGGCCCTTACGCCTCACTAGCGGAATCAGGGTTTCAGATTTCCTAATACAGTCGTTAGCTGTTGAGCCTATTCCAATTCAGAAAATAAAAACACGAAATATAACACAGTCAGTTTATTTGTTCTATAAACATTAATATGACTTAATACTACTCAAATCCTCAATAATCTTCTTGTTCAGCATGGCTAGTTCATCAATAGCTTGTTTCTTTAACGGCTCATAGTCTGCCTTCAAGGTTATAGACGCTATGTCTTCTTCTAGAACAGTCTTCCTTGTCTCCAGCTGAGCCAGTTGTTCTTCTAGCGCGTTGAGTTTGGTGTACATTTCGTTACCGTCAAGGCTTGCCTGTAATTAGAAAGAAACAAATATTAATCATTACGTTCACGTACTGCGACTGCCTCGTTAGCCGAGTGCTCTCGAGTGCGACTACTGGGTCTGGGGTCTCGGTTGCGATTCCCGGGATAGGCAAAGTGGCAAGATGGGTTGGGTTAAAAAACAGATCAGTTGTAGCACAGTCTGGAATTGATCAAAATATTAATGGGTTTTTAAATAAATATCAGTCGTAAAACAGAGTCTAAAATAAATTGTAAATGACGATATTATTCTTTAGTACAAATAAGGTTGAAAATCATAATAAAATTATAGAAATGCAACCAAACTTTGTCATTACCTATTGATGTTGAGAGCTGGATTAGACATCATATATATATTTAACAAATGGTATAATTAACAGAGAACTTACCTGTATGCTCTTCAATTTGTTGGTTGCCTCTAAAACAGCACTTTCTGTGGGAGCCAATTTTTCTTTCAGCTGTTTTAGCTCTGTTTCCAAAGCTTTCTTCTGCTCTTCACCTAGAACATAAACATGAGAGACATTGGAACCACTACTCAGTTTACATACCGTAAATTATTGTTTCATCTCTCTGTGTTGATTACCTTCATCTCGAAGTTTCTCTAGATCTGATAACGTTACCAGTTCTTCTTGCATGACTCTCATCTTCTCTGGAAGCGTTTGCAGTTCTGTGGCCAGACGTTCCCTAGTTGCTTCAGCCTGTAACACCAATTTGATACACATCATCATATTGTATACTTAAATTCAATATCCCCTCTCCCCATTATAGTATAAGAGCTAGTGAACCCTTTAAATAAAGTTCGACATATAAGGCTTGAAAATATAACTTTTAAAGAATAATGATTCTATCAAAGTATTTTAGGAATTGCACATAGGAATGAACAATCCAAGTAGCATCGGAAGAGTATAATCTAAAATTGAATTTATAACAAAACCGAGTCGTATTCAACAAATGAGTTTTTAAACAAAAATTTGTTATTTTTTTGTGTGTAAGACCTTTTATTGAATATTTTTTTAAACGTTGCCTCACACTAGGATTGTCTCCTATGTCGTGGGTGCATTTACAAACATAAAAGTTCACATACACAATCACACCCAGACCCGAGACAATATTTTGTGGATCATACAAAGAGTTGCTCCGTGCGGGCATCGAACCCGCCATACATTGCACGGCAGCCGGTTGCCCAGCCACTGCACCAACCGTGCAGACCTACACGTTTAATTTTTTTATACTTTCAAAATTGTGATTAATGATTATTTTGAATGGTGGTCAATGATATTTGTGACTATCTTAGTTATATTTTTATACTAGCTGACCAAGCTGACTAAGCAAGCTTCGTACCGCCTAAAGTCAAGGTGTCAAGGCTTCCTGGCGGTCAAAGACAGACATTACAATTTCTTACCTTTTTCAAGTTAGTTTGAAACCTCTCATAATCTTTAGTCAGCACCTCAACAGATTTCTTGCTATCATCATATTGAGAAGTGTACCCATCTTTCTGCTTCAACGAGTCTATCTCGCTCAAATCTAAATCTATGTTAGAACTGCTATGTTCCAAGGCAAATACGATATCTTTTTCCAACTGGTCTATCTTTTCCTGTTCCTTTTTGAGGTTTTCTTCATACGAAGCCATAAAGGTATCCATTGTTTCTTCTCTTTTCTTTAGTTCTCTGTATTTCTGATGGCGATCAGAATTTCCTTCTTCTAAATCCTGGAAATGATACACAAATAGGTGATCTTAGAGTGAGGTTAACATGCATCCTTTATGGTGGAAAGCCATCATCGTACCACAAGACAATTGGCGAAGAGTTACCGATTTATGGTAGATATTCCACCGACACGTACGCAGCGCTTCGCGTCAAGCTACCTTGTGCGTACTGCTAAAGAGTGGATTCTTTGCCAGAGTCTGTATTTCCTGAAGGGTATACCTGGGTTTCTTCAAGGCTCGAGTGAATAGGTTACTTACGGGGTGACCTGCTCCATCGTAGACCGCATCATCGTTTACCACCAGGCGGAATAGCGGTCAAACGTCGGCCCATCAAATATAAAAAAAAAACTATGACGATCTGTTGATGGTACCTGTTCAGCTTGTTCGATTAATTCTTGCACTTTCTTTATTTGTTCCTTTAGATTTGCAGCGTTACTATCCAAAGATGAGATTGCAGCGTTGTCTTCTCGAACCTAAAAACAATATTTAAAACTATATCGGTATATACTTTGTTACTTTTAGTAAAACATCAATCCAATCGTTCCATACCTGGAGCAATAGTTTCTCCCTTTCTTCTTGCGGGTCCAATCGGTTGTTCATCTCATTTTTCATATTGTCGCGTTTCTCTTCAGCAGCTGATAGTCGACGATGTAGCTCCAATAGATTGACCTTTATCTAAACCATTACGAACAATGAGAATTTATTTGCAAAGTCCTCTTATTCTTCCTAAAATGAGTAGGTACCTGAGATCCAGATATTTCTTTACTAAATTCGCCTTTTTCTCTATTGAGATGATCAATATGAGTCCTCGCTTGCTCCACTTCTTCTCTTAGCGCAGCTGCAGTTGCTTCTAGTTCATTATACTCATCCTTCTGTTCTTGTGTCATTTCTGCTAACAGCTTGGTGATTGTTGATTGTTCCTAGAAAACCATTCATCTGTAGTGCTACATCGAGTTCTTCCTCAAATATAGATAATCAACGTAGTGTGGGTCTTGCCCGTTATAGGCGACTAGATTAGCCTTATTTTTAGAAGTTATACAATGACAGTTAATTATAATATAAGTGGATAATTATATAGTCTTCTTCTTCTTCTTTATGTCTACAAAAGTTACCTTATCCATCTGTTCCCTTAATTGTCTTAGTTGGTTTTCCTTCCTTTGTTTCTCCATGAAGACCTGTTCAACTTCTTCCTGCATTTTCTGGTTGCTTGCTTCCAAGTCTTTGGTCTGTTCCTCCACGATCAGTTTATTGGCTTCGCCATTAGCTATGCGAATCGCCGTGTTGTAGTCTGCTAGACGGCCTTGTAAATCTATAAATAAGGATTGGACTTTAGGATTCTTATAGTAAATACACGTATATGATTTTAATATCAAAAAGCAAAATGTATAATTGTGACCTAAAACAGAAATATCACCCCAAACATCTGTTAGATCTTGTTAATGTTTTGTTTCAACATGGAATAGAATAAATTCTAATTCAAACACCGGACTTACCAGTCAACTCCAAAGCCAATTCCCTGACTCTCTTCTCATAGTGCTTCTTAGCTGATCTCTCTCTTTCTCCTGCATCAGCTTGCTCACTGAGTCTGGCTATCTCGGCCTTCATTTCCCTAACTTTTACTTGCATTAGCTCTTCCCAATAACGTTTGTCTTGCAGCTGACGGGTACGGAACCCTCTAGCAGTGCCAGTTCGAAGACCAGATATGCCTTGCTGGGTTATTGGTCTGTCGATCTGTGAAAAGTAAATAGTGTGACTGTTTTTATTACAGACGATATCTTGTGAATAGAATAGTAACCACAAGAAAATGTCTCGGTGAATGAATAGGTATTATTGGTCTCAATTTAAGGTGATTTCCAGTCTTGAAAATATCTAAATATTCGTAAGCCCCCTTGGGTAACACCAAGTATGAAACATTTGCTGACTGAAGGGCAGAGTGATATGGGCCTTGGCAGAACTGGGTCCATTTATAAAATCTCAAACATATGTTAAGGCATGCTAATAATTGACGAGGTGCTAGATGAGCTTACCAATACATTTGCGTTTCCTTGAAAGGTGGTAATCCTGGCGGCAACAACGTCAGTTTACAACAACAAACCTTTCTCTCTTACAATATAAGACTCGTACATAATATAGCTAGTGAAAAGTAGATGTTAAGTTTAAAATATAATAATAATATTATTATAATAATATGCCTGCCTCCCTAATAAGACTGCCTCGTTGGCCGAGTGGTCGCGAGTGCGACTGCCGGGCAAGGGGTCTCGGGTTCGATTCCCGGGTCGGGCAAAGTATTACTGGGTTTTTAAAAAAATTCTCAGTAGTAGCACGGAGTCTGGAAATGTGCCCGGTATATGGCAATAGGCCCACCCCCTATTACATGGTGCTCATAACATAAATAGTGGAAAGTGGGTATTACATTATACAGTAGCATAATATGCACCTCTGCCTACCATTTCGGGGATAAAAGGCGTGATGTTATGTATGTATGTATGTATGTAATAATATATTCCCTGGTTTGCACCTGGTAAAACATACCATAGAGAACCCAGTCATGGCGGTTGGCTGTCGACTGGCGGTAGGAGGAGCAGGTCCGAAG